TACCTCGATATTACACATTTTCTTGTATTATGACGTCACAGCTTGAAAATTGTCTCAATATTACCAATATTATTTGTAATATTCAATATTCCTCCGTACACGGCCAAGGAGAGTTGACGACCCCTCGGGTAGGGCGGCGGCTGAGGGTCGCCCGCCGGCACCCCGCTGGGCGCGGTCAAGCACTTGCCGAGGGTGAGGCACACCACCCTCCGGCTGCACGGAGCGCGCGCAGGTGCACCCTGGGGCTCGGCGGCTCCACCCAGAGCTCCCCTCCTGGACTCGTTAATTTCTCAATGAATTCATTTAGCGCCTTTGGTGGTGGCGGACCCGCGCATTAATCAACCCCAGAAGAGATAGGGCGGGGCGGGGCGGGGCCGGGGGGGGGCGACCGCAGCGCGGTGCGTTAGTGAGGCGGGCGGCACCGGGCGAGCGCCGCTAAATTGCATGTCACCCGAGGGGGGCTGAACTCGGCCAAAATCTGCGGCCACTTTATTGCACCGCTAGTACGGGATTGTACACATCTTGTACGCATCTTTCGCAGAAAATGGTTCCACTGGATTAACGAAGAAGCCCTTAGTTAACCAATGGTAAATATGATTGCACACACTGCACGTAGGCCGACTCAAATAGTGTCTCTGACTCTCTTATTATCGGTCGCTCGCTCACACAAGAAAATGGTTCCATTGAATTAACGGAGAATCTCTTGCATCAATGGAAATTTAACCAATGGAAAATATGATAGAAATTTTCCGCAACTTTAAGCGACTTTCTATGACCCTATCGGAATTTTTCCCTTTGAATCTATGAAATTCCATGAAGTGAAGATAAAAATTCTATTATATTTCGTTTCCACTGAGTCAACGGTGCCGTTTTCTGGGTGCAGGCCTTTACCTCAATCCTCCATCCATGATGTCGTGGTGTTGAGTTATGTTCGACAGGTTCGACACGAGGAAGTATGCAAAGTTCTGGGACATTATGAAAAGCACACCACATCAGTGGAACTCTCTGTTAGAAGCTTACCCGCAATGTGATTGTGTATGACACGACTCCCCCTCGACCACTTTTCGATTCGAAACGACGCGTTCCGCAAAGCACTCCCTGGAGCACCCCGACAAGCACCTCGTGGCAATAAACGTCAGTACTGCAGCACCCCCCAGAGCCTGTCAGTGAGCCCGTCTGTGTGTCCGTCCTTCTCCGCCCCCGCGAGGGCACGCGCCCCTTTTGAAGCCACCGCCCCCGCCATCCGCGCCGCCGCCCCCGCGGCCCCTGCCAGGGGGCGCCCTTTAGAGACACGCTATCTTAATGCGATCGGCAGAGGCGGCATCCCTTTTGGTGGCTAAGGGCCTAACTGCGGGCGCTAAACTTGGCGACGCGATCACCATGGTGACGCTGGGGTCGGGGCTGGGGCTGCGGCAAGCAATGATGCCCCTTCGCTATCCATCCCCTGCGAAAAATATCTTGTCAAGTAGCAAGACATCTAAATATACACGATGAAAAAAAAGTTCCGACCAGAAACGGATCGTGAAAGCAGATGATACCTTGTGAAGAATTATTCTATTCCAGTCTATTATATTTCCGTATTTACACTTGTGGGGAAAGGGAGGGGGTAGGTGGCGGTGCGGTGCTGTGCGGGGGCTCCAGCGGTAGAAGGGAGGGGGGCTGCTAGCGCTAGCGCGGCCGACTCGGCTCGGGGCTCGGGCTCCGCTCGGGGCTCGGCTCGGGGGAACTCGGCTCGCCTCAGCAGCGCTACAACGCGAGGGGTGGCTGACGCGACGGCGGCTGGCGACGGCGACTGGCGACGTACGCCACCTCACGATCCCGCCTAGCAGGCCCAGCCCAATACGTATATGAGCTTTCTTCTGGTTCTCTTTAATATTTCTAAATCGAGAGTAAAAGCAATGACACCTTACATTACTCATGTATAGTTATGTTAAGTGTAAGTAAGTTTAAGTTTGTAAGGTATCATCTGCTAAAAAAGTTCCGTCAAAGCACGGATCGTGGAAGCAGATGATACGTATGTAATGATCAAGCCTTGCATTATATTATTTCAGTACAGGATGTGGAGGTTTCAAAGATCTAACACCCACATTTTCAGAATTTTGTTGCTATCTATACCGCTATTTATATCATACAAGTTTTCCATTGGCGTTTTATTCTCCTTCAGCGCTTGGAATAGCATGATATGATAGCGTCCGGGCCGGGCGGCGGCCGAGCCGGACCGGGCCGGGTTCGGAGCTGCGCTTCGAGCCGAGCGCCGGCCGAGCCGAGTCGGGCGGAAGGGAGGTAGAAGGGAGGGGGAAGGGGGCGTCTGGCTGGGGCACGGGCCACCACCACCACCAACAACCAGCCGCCCCCGGTATATCTTCTACTGGTGACGTCACGCTTTGCGTCTCTCTGCACGCCGCTTCATGATAGTACAAGCAATGACACATTTGACATATCATTCTTATTCATTTCAGATGTGTAAAGTGTTCAAAGTTTCAGTTACAAATGTATCATCTGCTAATAAACCGCTAAGAATCTAATCACTGGTGCTTGTTGTATTTCACTGCATGGGCTCTGATATTTTGTTCCGGAAACAGTGAACACCTCCCGCCGGCGGAAACAAAGTGATGGTATCGATCGGGCCGGAACCCATGGAGTAGCCTGAAGCACTTAACGCCGCAGCCTGTGTGCACTGCAGCGCAAGAGTCTTATGTGCTGCAGCGGCAGAGAGGCTTGGCTTGGCCGCACCGCACCCGTGTATCAACGTCTCAACACAAGGCGCTGCACGGTGCGGGACACACCCCCTCACCAGCCCTCCCCTCTCGCCCCGAGAGGCTGCACTCCACTGTCCCGCTAGGATGCCTTTTGTTGTGGGGCCTTCGTGTTATATTTCCACCCGTTCCAGAAAATAAGTCACAACGGGGCACAAAAACAGCCATCCTGCCTGCACCGCTCCAATCTCCAATATCCAAGGATATGTTGAAAGATGCCCTCCAAAAAAAGTATAAATCACCAACTTCATCGCGAACGATATATTTTTGGGGCGGTTGGGAGGTGCGGCGGCCGCTAGCGCCCTCCGATCCACCGGCTCCCGCGGGCCCGGAGGTTC